CACTCTCGAATAAAAGGTGAAACTTTAGAATTATATAACTTCACTTTAATATTTTTCAGAAAACAGGAATGATCAGTGATCGTTGTCCAAATATATATGGATCAACTTTCACAAGCCTGCAGAATAAAAACTGACAGCCTTGACAACTTTTACTCTCAGAAATAAAAAAAAATATTGTAAGAATATGTTTAAAAGTTACTGGGAAATTAAGTCATAAAATGATTATGGTTTAAAAGATTAAAGGCATAATGTGATAAATAAGATTTTGTTGGTGATTTTTAATGGGCATCTTTTGACCACTGCAGATCATCCAAATCTAATGGATTGTTAGAACTACATTTATTTAATTTACCAGGACTGTTTCACTGAAATTCATTACATCTTAAGCTAAGGAGTTTATTATATAAATATATTATCTTTTAAAACAAAGTGGCGCGTGTATGACGCCGCCTACCATTCATTCTTCCTGTCCACTGAACTGCTGTCAAGGGCCCAATTTAAAAAAAAACGGCATTTCCCTTTAATAAACTGTTTCAGGGGAGTGATCATAGCGCTCATAACTGCATCACCAGGGCTCTGTCTGTCTCCCTCCCAGATTTATTGATGGGGTGCATCAAAACTGCCGCATCTGCTGCATGTGAAGCCTCATGAGCCTCAGCTTCACATGAGGCTCATGAGGTTCTTTAAAAAATATTCAAGATGCACTGCTCCTGCTGCTGTAGACACACTGCAGGACGTTTTGATGCACCTTGATCCATGTCAAACATAGACTTGGCATGAAAAAAGGCTGCTTCTGCTGCCCAAAGATTGTTCAGTGTGAATGTAGCATAAGAATATTATTAATGATAAAAAATTATTTCAGTCTCTAAAAATTAACTAAATAGCACCTAACCATAAAATTAATGAGAAACAAATTCAAAATTCCAAATATTTATCATGAAATTCAAGCTAGACTTTAAATGAATAAGTTTTCTTCATGTTTTCAGATGCAAAACAGCCAAAATTTGCACCAAGAATTTATTTCTATTAAGACAAGGATGCAACCTAGTCCTATCCAATCTTGCTTTATTTTTTTATTTTATTTAAATAATTTTCAGTGTAATTGGTTTAATTTCCATTTTGTGTCATTGTAGTTGTTTTTCTGGTTGTATTTGAGTTCCTATGTATTTTTTGTTTACTATCTATTGCCCCCTTGTACCAGTCTCCTTTCCCCTAACTCCCTTCTAGGTCCTTCTGTCCACACCTGCCCCCAATCAGTTAATTACTTGATTCTTTGATCTGTTTGGCATTTATGCTCCTCCTCTGCAGTTACTGTTTGCTGGATTCTCTTCATTACTTAATTTCCTCCTTAACCCATGTGTTCCCCTCTGTTCTGGTTCCTGTGCATTGATATTTTCTAAGGGGGGGAATTTATGCTTCTGTTGCCACTCCTCTATATTAAATCAGCAAGAAACCACCCCAGCTAATATCTCTGCATTTGAGTCCTCTAAAAACCTCCACACAGGCTGGCCTACTCTGATGTTACTTCATGTTAACCCCAAAAAGGTATTTCACTGACTAATCACTTTTATTTTGTTTTGTTATCTGTGTTACCTCTATGCCACAGGAATGTAGTTTTTCATATTTTTCTTGCCACTGAAATATGCTATATAAATAAACTTAATAAACCTTTGCCTAATAAATATCTGCATATTCAGAAAAGCTGCTAAATGTCAGCAGATTCAAAACTTTTTCATTCTCAGACAGGTTTAGAAAAGAGAAAGAAACTGCATTAATTTCCTGCCACTTTACACTTAATGAGCAGCAAAGATGAAGTAGGAACATTATAACTGTTTTTGTGTTAAAAATAGCTGCTATACAGAGTCATTTTCTACACAGTCTGTAAACTCTATGGGAAACTAATATGATCGTATCAATACTCACACACTGGTGACTTTCATGGGCTGAATCTTGACCCTCTGAAGGAAAAGAAAAAGAAAACTTTAATTTCATTTTTAATGATCATTTCTAGCTTCTCCTTTCCTCTGAAACAGTAGTAGTTTACCACACTGTGGTTACTATGGAAACAGTTCCTCCTTACTCTGAGGAAAGTGTTTCACAAGATTTCGGAAACAGAAATGAGCTAATAATATAAATGCAGCTACTTGCACTGAGGGAAATTATAATAATAGATGGAAAGGTTACTTGAACTGATACAAAATATACAACATGCTGACAAAGAAGCATCTTAGGTCCTGTTTAGAAAACCACAGTAGTAAGAACCCTGACTACCATTCCTGACAGTCATGTGACACTGTTTAAGGTTCACTCAAACTTCAATCAATGCACTGACCTTTCTCTATCAGGGAATCATTATCTGTTTCAACCCAGCCCCCACCGGCCTCTGATCCCACCCTGGATTTAATCCAAAGGGACCACAGGATGAGAAGTTATATGGAGATAAAATGTAAAAATATTCCCTTTGCCCTTTATGAATATTTCTGTGGTCAGAGAATATCTGCATTTTCATCCAAACAAAGCAGCTTAACCTGATTATGTAACAGGTGTGAATGTTGTACCCTTTATTTACTAGTAACTAGTGGCTCCATTTGACTAAAAATAACTATTAAACACTTCTATATTTGCCAACACCATAGGTTCCCTCTGTAGATTAAAGATCCAGTACCTGCTGTGGTTTTATGATCCTCTTTAACTCTGGTTTTCCTGCGTTTGATGATAACAGCAGTCAGAACCACCAGCAGCAGGAGGAGGCTGATCACTGCTCCAAGGAGAATGATGATGTTGGTGTTTTGGGGAGGATCTGCTTGGATGATGCCAATATTATAAAACATGCAATAACCATGTCAAAAACACATAATTTGACAAAAATCCAAAGATGATATCACACCTTCCAGCCCGGACTTATAATTAGCTTCTATTTTAAAGGTCTCTTCCCTCTACAAACTGAATTTTTTATTTTAGAAATTTTAAAGTCCCATTTGAAAGGCCTGTGGATGAAACACCATGTGAATGTGTTTTGGCCATTTCTGTAAATAGATAAACGTCAGCAGAGATGGCAAAAGTACTCACTTTCCGTACTTGAGTAAAAGTACAGATACTTGTGTTAAAAAATACTCTGGTAAAAGTAGAAGTACTGCTTAAACTTCTTTACTCAAGTAAAAGTAACAAAGTACAGGCTTATAAATTTACTTAAAGTATAAAAGTAAAAGTAGAAACCACTTTTTTCATGCCGTTGCCTACATTTTAAATGGATGTCTGCCAATAGGACTAGATCTCCGTTGTGTTCATTCTCCATCATCTCGTCGTACATACTACTTTG